TCTGCCCTGTGGTGCTGCGAAGACCAGACGTTTACACTTCATAAAGCAAGTGGACAAATTCATGAAAGAAAAAAAAAACCCCACACACCAATCCAAAGATGGATTCAAAGCCCCTTGGACATAAATCACACCAGACTGTTAGAGCATCTTTGAGAAGTACTGCTAATGCTGGCTCTGTTATGGTATTCTTCCCCAGGCACCTGCTAGTGTGACCCATTCTTATGGTGATGGGCAATTCAGATAATGAAACACCACATCATTCTGCTAGCTCAGCTGGCAGATCACTGATGTTTTGAAGCACGGAATACATATTCTGTGGCTTTATAGAAGTATACGATAAAGTAAGAGCTTTGGGTAACTCATATATTACTAACAGCAGTGAGAATGATACAGCCATTACCTGATGAGACCTTTTGCATCACACCGATCAATGCAACACGCAGCTCAGCTCTTTATACACACACATACACAAACTATGCAGTACATGTGTTTATAGTGTATATATAGTGTATATACTAATATATATAGTGTATATACCAATACAGAATATAATCTGCTTACATACATACACATAAAAAAAACCAAAGCTGCTGACATGAATCTGAGAGTGAAATCTGTCCCCAATACTTCATGAAACCTCAGAAGGGCTCAGAACGCCTCACACCACAAAGCCTCTGAACAGTCCTTACAGCTTACAGGCCCTTTTGCAATCTAATAACCAAACCCAGCTAGCAATTAGATGCTATCTCCCTTCGTTGCTCCACTTCCAGGAAGTGACTACAAAACAGAAAACCCTACCATGTTGCTGACAGGAGGGAAAATGTAGCCAAGGGGATGAAAAACAAACATTAAAAAAAAAAAATACTGTAAAGCAGCAAGCAAAATGCAATTCAGTTCTACACTTCTACAAGCATGTGCTTTTTCCTTTGGGGTAGTGACACCTTGTGGCCCCTATCTTGCATAGGCTCTAAAGGACACATCCCATCCATAAATAAAATAAAGTGTTTAGTGTTCCTGAATGCTAGTATCTTTTTTTTTTTTTTAAGTGGTAGAGGGAAGTACATAAATTAATAACTTTGCTATGCCCTTTGTGGAGGTTTTTCCAATGCTCCCTATTTACAAAAATGGCAAATTCACTACATCTAACAGAAAAGTATCAGTAACAGGATGAATTTGTACCTGATAAAGTCAAAATTCATTTTCACTTCACTGAGGTTGAAACAGTTCTGATTTATGCTGCCATCAGATCAGAAATCTGTCTCGACTATACAGTTTTCAAAATTAAAGGGCATGCACCATTCCCTTATTTGACTACTACAATTTTATGCTCTATTTGAAATTAAAAGTACAAAAGCAAAGGGATACTGGAACAGAACATCAGCATCCTATGATAAAAATAACTTTGCTATCTTAATAAAGTATTTAACGATCCAAAAAATTAAGAATGCCTGTGCAACCCTCAGTCGCCTTCTAGCACAGGAATTCTGATAAGTTTCCAGTTATATATGAGCCCATACTGTTTCCTCCCAAGGATCCCATCCTCACTCAGTGCTGACAAAACTGTTATTTCATTCTGTCTTCACTTCCCACTGCACTGCCCCACATTGCCACCATGGCACATAAATGCCTTAAAACAAGCCCTGACAGCCCTTACTTCTCAGGTGTCCTGTATGAGTATTTTCACTTGTATTTTACAAAAGGTAAGAGAATTTTGTTCTCATATATTCACTAATTTGGGCCCTATTTTGAGCCAAATAATCTCAGTTTCATCTCATCCCTCAACCTGGACACTAATTTAAGATCATTATCCTTGGTTCCCTACAGCTAATGAGGAGTGACACACTGCCTCCAGAGAGCAGTACGTCCCATCTAGTAGCAGTCGTTGCTCACACTGGAAACATACAATTTTGTTTGGCTGGTTTCTCCTCAGGATACATTTCTAAGAAGCTGGTGTTCATTCTTTTTTCTGAAGTATTAACCCATAAATTATATCATATGGAGTTATACCTAACATACCTCTAAATTCTGGTGTGAGGATTTCACTTGTAAGTGATACTTCAACAAACAACACCTGTCCATGTTGATGTACATACAGGTATGAGCATGTGTACATGTTTAATTCATAGCTTCCTTTCCCAAATACGAGTCATCCCTAACCTGTGAGCCCTCAACACCCTATAGAAATGGCATCCACATTGTACTGCTAGCTAATCCCATCCTCAGAGCCAGCTGTACTGCTATTAGTGAGGTGTATGCCTAGTTTTACTTTTACATGTTTACTCCTTTGGTATCAGTGACAGGAATAGAAGCAGAAATTCAGCCAAGAAAATACGAGCGTAAGCCTCAGACGCTCCAAAACAGGATGCCTCAGCAGAGACAGTTTCACCAGCAGTTTAACCTGCTGAGCTGCACTCTGAACAGGAGTAGCTGGGGCATGAGAACATCATCCCCCCCACCAAGACGACCAGTGCTAGCCTGTCAAAATCCAGAGAGAGGAGGACAAAGAAGTTCCATTAGGAACAGGTCACGCCACTAAGCACTCACCTGGGAGTCAGAGATACGAGTACTATGCCCGGCTCCACCATTGACCCCCACACAAACTTGAGTAGGGCACTTGACTCTCTCTGCCTCCCTCTCCTTCCCCAAGCTTTGTCTGGATATCTGCCAAACGATCTTGGAAAGAACTGTCCCCTACTAGGTTTGTATAAGGCACAACAGGACTCCTCTAGGCAACTGCAGTTAAAAGAAGAGTCAGATCTATTCCACAGTACTGATCTGCTGTTCTACATCAGCAGTTCACAAACTTATCACTGTGAGAGATGCTCAGACCACAGTTTCGGTACAGTGCTACAGATCATTTAAATGATACAACCCTAGATTACATATGTTTTTAGTCTAGCTTTTGTACCAGCCCTTTTCTTCTCCTAATACTCTGTGTCATCTTTGGAGTCATTCCACAGAATCTGTGGTTCTTTTTTTCATGCACAATCAGATCCGCTTAGAAACTGATGCTCTCAGCAACACACTAACCAAATTCTAAACAAACCATTCACTGTATTTACAGCTACTCACTACAGCTATTCTGCATCATCAAGGAAGACAGAAAGATTACAATATTTACTGCAATGAATCATCATCCCTCTTCCAATCAAAACCACACTTATATACAAAACTCCTGATCCGATTCCTGCTCTGTTTCCAGCTGACTAGGCTACTCCAAGTCGACGACTGCCAGCATTCATTAACTCTTAAGAGCTTACTGTACTGGCATCTGAGATTCTCAGACTAGTGAAAAAAATATGTCCTGAATATACCCTGCAAAAGTATAGCATCAAATTCCAGTAATTCTAGTGATAAGTACCCACAATCAGATTAGGAAGGTATTCTGGATAATACATTGCATTACAAGCCTTGACTTTTAAAATCCAATTACTGCTGATCCCAACAAATAACTAACCCTATTATTCCAGCTCTGGCAGGACAACTCAGCCAGGAAGGAGTTTCAACGCTAAAACTGAAGTGCAAGCTTAAGATCCAGAGGAAAAAAAATCAGTTTTAACTTTTAATGCATGTCCTTAAACCACTGAGGCTTATAATGCAGTTTATTGCCTGCTGCCAGAGTTCTTCAAAAGGCTACATTTTATGGTATATGGGTTAGTTAAAGAGCGAGAAGGTAAGTCAGGTTAGAACCTCAGTGTTTGTATTGCAGACTGTTGTTTCTCATCTTCTAGTTCTTATTAAGTCTTAAGAGAAAGCTTAAGCATATGGATGCCTAAAACAGCTCAAAAAGTGATACAGTGGTCAGTTCTGAAGATGCACTTCTCGGAGGGGACAAATGGGCCTCCTCTGTTTTATCAGGGCATTTATCACATCATTGTGTATAAATTGATACTGCTTGTTACACAGAAATACTAGATAATCAGATGTGTGCACATGGGAGGGCATAGGGACAGAAGACTCTCTTCCTTGTTACTTATCGTGCTTGAGCCAGGTGAGTCTCTAGCACAGGGCTCTTCAACCTTTCTCTCATTAATTAAAGTTGTGTTTAACAGACAGACAAAAAGCACATGTTACACAACTTGGACAGCCAGGGAGGAAGAGCATTAGCAGAAGCTGTTAGCTGGGACAGAAGCAGCTCCCTGCAGGGATCTCACTGCTTCATGGCAGAATGAGGCAGGATTCAGCACAGTTCTAGAGCAACCCAGTAAAACGGGCCCCATTGTTTCCTTCTCCCGCTCACCAAAATCCTGGAGTCCTCACCCCAGCTTTGCTCTGCTGCTGGTTGTGTGGTGAGGCTCCAGCACAGAAACTGTTCTTGAACTGCTGGATAAGTGTTTGTGGTTCAAAGTTAGTCACACCCATGCTTAGGGATACTGGTTTATCCTACAGCTTGCCAGACAGATCCTTGGCTGATCAGCGCCAGGGCAGTAAGACCACACTACCAGCTGAACAAACTTAATAGTGAAATCCACAGCCTCCTAAAGTTAACAAATTACCACCAGGACTGCCAATTCTCCACTCGAGCAAAATTAAGAATGACGACTCCGGGCTTTGTTAACCATGGTTGCGAAGTTAGCTGTGAATTGTGTAAGCTAAATCCATCTACAGCAAGGCTACACAAGAGCAAAACCAGCAGCCTTCAGTTCAAGGATGCATGGTCCTTCTTTAAAGATGCTCCATGATCCCTCTGTTCTGCCCTCAAGACTCTGCACAAGACCTTTTTTGTATACTTTAATCAGGACCATGCTTCCTTGTCTTTTTTCCATACACTATGTGTAGGTACTGGAAGGATTTCAGGTTAGGTAGGGGGATTTTTTCTTCCAAGTTTTGCTAAGCTTGACTGTTCTGACCCTGATTAAATGCTAATGTATCCTAACCACCTAGAAGTTGCAAAACAATACCACAGAATCAACATTTAGTGAATATTACTATAACGCTTGTGACCTCAAGAGAAAAAATTCTAAAATGTTCCAGTATAAGTACTTGACCAGAACACCTACTGTTTTGTAAAGCTGTGCTTTCAGGCGGTATGAGTTGTATTCCATTTTTCTCTTCTCTTCCTCTCGCTTCTTCTGCACCTCTGGCAGCTGCTCGTAGATCCTTAAGTGTAAACACAGAAATAGTGACTTGGAAGGAAGGAACTTATTGATATTAAAGAAACCATCCTCTGTTTTATCTTCACATTCTGTTAAAGGCTGCTGGCCAACAACATCACAGAAAAATTTATTTGGGGATTTACTAGTGTCACACAGGGAAAATGTGGAACACATAGCAGTTGTGATACCGGAAATTCCCACATCCCATAATGCCTTTCTCTTACAAGCAGCACCTCTTAAAAGCAACATTTATAACATTAAAATGACCATCCAGCTGATATGATTACCCAGCTGCAAAAGGTAAAGCTTCGATATCTTCAGTACCCCATTCCTTTTCTGTCCTGGTTATGCTGATTCCGAGTAACACGTTTATCCATCAATAGCGGTATCTTTATCACAAGAATAACCTGATTTAAGCTATTTAGGCATCTTTTCAAAATTTCTGTATTTTCAACGTTCAACCATGTTGCCCTGTCTAGGTGAATGCTTTGCCTTCTCCAGTGCTGAACTTCTCCCATACCAGAGTCAAAACAGTAGGGGATGCTTTGAACTGAAGAGAAGGTGACTGGTGCTCAGTATAGAGTCAGTGCACTATTCTAGTCTGGTTTATACCAGAGCCAAAACAGCAAGGGATGCTTTGAACTGAATAGAAGGTGACTGGTGCTCAGCATAGAGTCAGTGCACTATTCTAGTCTGGTTTACATGCTACCATCTAAAGGAGGGACCTGAGAGCTAGGATAGCAGCGTATTGCTCACACTGCCTTCCCTAAATCTTCCTTTAAGATCATAAAGGTTTACTAATTTCATGACAGTGGTTGCAAAGAAATATGCAGCTTCAAAAACATTGCTGTTTACAGGAAGTGGAAATGAACGACGTTCAAAAATTTCAGTCCTGTAATATTTAAAGCAAGACAGATCCTACTATAACTCCTTTCCTAACATGCCGATTTGATAATCAGCAAATAGAAAAAAAAGACTTGTTACAGATACAATAGTGCATTATACTCGTTTAGAGACTGCTTCATTCTTATGTCAGTATAACGTCTTTGCATAATTACTATTGGCACTTCAAATATTTTTAAACACATCTATGCCTTCAACTCATATTATCTGAAAGTACTTCAACACACTCCATTTTGAACACTGCAAATCAATACAGCCCACCAGCCAGGAGGGGCATCTTTGACAGTTGTCTTGGTACTAATTCCAGCAGGAAAATAAGTAATACTTCAGACCGGCAAGAGAAGAGAGGGAGGCAAATGTGTATCGGTTTGCACCCATCTGCTATTTAGTCAATACAAGTTAGGTGTCACTTGTATGTTTCAAAGGAGAGAAGGACAAGAAGTTAGCTGGAAAACAAAGCAATAGGAAGCTGTATGATAAGGCATAACTAAGCAGGCAGAATCAAGAAAGCAAAGATCAAATCCAAATCTCAATTAGTACTGAATTTTATCTCCTGTCTAATTCACCAGCATCAGCTAAGGAAAGCCATACACATTTGTAGCTTCTACAGTCCCCCACACAAGTGTATTTACCAATCCATCAGATTTCACAGTGTAATTGATGAGCAAGCAAATACACATCCAACACCAAAAAAAAGAAGGGGCGGGGAAAAAAAAAAAAGCAACTGCACTCCTTCTAGTGACCTACCTTCCTGCGTATCCCTATTTTCCTATTCTCTCTGCAGCTGCTCTTAGGAGGTCATCTTTTCTAAAAATGTCACTACCCACATTACCACTACAGAAAAGAGGAAATAAATCACATTTAGATGCTTACTTCACTCCTCTTATGCTTTGCTCGAAGGCAGCAGAGGGTGCTAGGTCTATGCATGTGTTAGTGGATGGGGGTAGGGATACCTCCAAGATTTGGGGTTTTGCTTTACTACCATCTCACCATTCTCTAAAGGCTTTTGCCATTCTAGATCTCCCCTCAAAGAAAGATCAAGATTTACCCCTCACAAATCATCCCACCATGAAGAGTTTAGAGCAAGAAATGGGCAATGCAGAATTGTACGTAAAATCATTGAAAATTGTTTTCATTACCTCTGGCTAATTTGCCATGAGAAATTCCATTTATTCCCTCACAGAGAAAAAGAAAAAGCTTTTGCACTCATTATAGGTGTGGATTTCAGAAGAATGGTACAGAATAAATTACTTCTCAGCTTCAGCCAAGAGCTGGAGTATGACAGCAGGAAGAACAAAAAAAAGTCACCAAGTGTGACTGCCTGAATCAGTCTCCATAGAAGTCCTGCTGACTTCGGTTATTATGAAATCAGAGTTTCTGAAAATACATGAGTTCAGATACATCGATCTCACAGTCCAAGTGACCCAAACGCAAATCCTTCTACTTCAGCCAAGACATACCGGGATGCATTCCTTGGGGAACGGCCATATTTACTACTTCTGCCACCTCTCTATTAATGCCCTAAAAATACTTTTAAATGCCAAAGGCTATTGAAAACATTCTTTTTGGACTTTCCCATCATATATATCAAGGGGTTTATTTTATATATTGAATATTCCAGTAGATGTTTTGTAGAATCGCAGTGTCACTTAGGTTGAAGGGGACCTCTGGAGGTCACCTAGTCCAACCTCCTGCTCGAAGCAGGGCTAACTTCAAGGCTAGATCAGGTTGCTCAGGCCTCATCCTGTCAACTTGGGACTACTTCCAAGGATGCAGATTCTACCACCTCTGTGGGCCCTGGTCCAGCACTTCACCACCCTCCTCGTGAAAAACCCATTTCCTTGTCTCTGGCTAGAATTTCTCCTTACTGTAACACATCACCACTGCTGCTTGTCCTGTCACCGTGCACCGCCAAGAAAAGTCTTGGTGGCTTCCTCCAGACTCAGGCCACTTTGTTGACCTCTCTGTTGTCCCAGCAGCCCAGAACAGGAGAGAGGATCCAGCTGTGGTCCCACGCGTGCCAAGCAGAGCGAATATCCACTTCCCTCCACCTGCATGAAATGCGGTGTGTAGCTGGCCTTCATCACTGCAAGAGCGCACTGCCAACTCATGTTCAATTTGCTGTCCACAAGCTGTCAGACCCCCAAGGCCCTTCTCTGAAGGGCCACTCCACAGGTAGTCTGTCCTCAGACACTGCCAAGGGAGGTGTCCTTGGGTGGGGTTTCTCTCCCAAGGAGAAACTTGGTATTTGTCATTGTTGAACTTCATGAGATTCCTCTTAGCCCTTTCCTCCAGCCTGCAGAGATCTCTAGAAACTGCAGACCTGCTCTCCAGCATACTGACTGGTCCTCCCAATTCAGTGTGACAACCTGTTGAGGTGTGCTCCATCTCATTGCTACTACCGATGAAAATGCTGTGACACAGTCCTGGCCCACAGCATTGTCCCTTTCACACAGGACAAACCCTTCCCTTCATGTAGCATGTACATTCCAAGACTTCAATGCAACAAAGCACTTGCATATACGCTGAAATCCCAACTACTTAAAATATCCCTTGCTTCAAGGTACACTCTTGACCTTTGTTTTGTTTTGACTCTAAATAACTTACAGTATCATTGTATTTTTATGTAACTTTACAAGTTATCAGAGATGACTTCATGAGTCTCTAATTTACTTTTATGTATTTATGCTGTTTCTCAACCGGTACTCTTCTAAACGACCTCCTCTTGACCCTGCTACCATTTCAGAATCTAGCTGCAATAAACTCCATTTTTTATTATACCTTCACATGCTCTCTCTGTAGCATAGGTATTCCAAACGTTTAATACATTGTTAGTGTGCTGTGCATTTTATATATGAATTACTTGAGTCAAAAATAAGGCAAAATCTATCCTAACGCGGTTTTCTTCACGGGTAAAAGCCTCTGTATTCCTTTGTGGGTAATTATTTCTTACACAAAGCTACTTTCATTTGGTGAAATGATGCCTCACTTCCTGCACCAATTACCTAGTTTGTTAATGTTTAAAACTATACAGATGCCCTAGTGGCCCACACGCTAAATTTCCTCTCTTTTTGGGATCTAGTATTTGCACAGTTTGCTGTAGTGCTTGGGTGGTAGATACTGCAGCAGAATACCCTGGTTTAGTTACAGAAATCATTTTTCCAAAATGATTTTTTTTCTCGGATTCTCTAAATAGGTGCTTTCTCCCTCTGATAAGGTGCCTACATCTTGCATTGAAAAAGCTGAGTTATCCCCGACACCCAATTCTTTGACTGCAGATACAATTCATCCATCTTTCCTACTCAGGTCACTTATCTACCTGAAACAAAATTTTCTTAACCTTACCGTTTAGATCTTTGAACCATTTCACTCTTTGGAATTGTTCTTCTCTTTCCTCTAATCAGAAAACCTAAATGGAAAATTTTGAGATAAGGGAATGGTGAACACGACTACTTCTCACAAAGAATACTACTGCAACAATATGACTCCTTTGTAAGTTACGGATTCTAACAGACAATAATGTTAAATAATTGTAGTACTTTTATTGAAAATACACACACCCTTAAGTGTAAGGTGGAAATTTATTAATTCCTATAGAACATAAAGAGCAGAACGATGAAGGTACCTGTGTTGGACAGCATGTGACTTGCATTTCTGTAGCCCTTTCTCTTCTCCGGAGGATTAAATAGCTCTTGTCTTTCGGACTGCAGTACGCTCTGTATCCTCCTTTCCTCCATTACAAGCTTCAGATGCTTCACACGCTCTCCAGAGCGGGAGATGAAATCAGGGCGATGCACTGCAAGAGCCTCCTAAGATGGGATGACACAAAACAAAGTCTGAAGTGGCCAGACTGTCTCCCTACAGCTGGAAGGGAATAATCAAAATATCTAACACCATTACCAAAGCATGGAAAAAAAATCCCATCAAAGTAGTATTTGGTATAACATACAAAATGTTGTATCCTTAATGCTGGGTAGATCCTCAGAGACCTTGTTTAACAAGCTATTTGTCAACAACCAACTGGCCAGGAAAAAAAAAAAAACAAAACACTACAATAATTAGCAAAAAGGACACAAATCTCGTCTTAAAAAAGCATAGCAAAGTTCACAAAGTTGAGTCCATAGAAGATTCTGTAACTTATTAGTCTCCCTTGCTATAAATCAGTGGGCACATCAACATTAGCAATTCATTTTGGATCAGAAGTGGAATTTTAAAAGCGATCTCCTAATACCTCCGTTTGCCACACTTCAATTTCCACCACAGAGCAGTCTCTGAGCACATGAGCAGATGCAACTGAACTTAAAGAAACTTCAGAAGTGCACTTTAGTTAGCACTTCCTAATTTACATTTCACTTGCTGTGGATGATCTCTTTCAAAAATATTTTTGCACACTACATCTGTATTTTTTCCACAGATATTTAGAGTGATCACATCTGATCTGAAGTGTATACCGTATATGCATGTGTATGTATGTACACACACATACGGTTTCCACTGTATAAATTAAAGCCCATTTTAATCACATACTATGTACATCATGCAGTATTATTTCTGCATGGAAGCAAGTATGACTTGATATTATGTCAGCTACATTCCCTCTAGTTCCTAGAGCCAAATGATTTAAGCCCTAAAATATTAGATCAATTCAAATAGATTAGTATATTGTGGAAGGCCAGATTACTATAAGCAAAAAGGACTGATGAATTTGTTGGGTTTCTTGGTTTGGGGGTTTGGTTTTTTTTGTTTGGGTTTTTTTGGGTTTTGGGGTTTTTTTGTTTTTTGTTGTTGTTGTTGTTTTTTAAGCAGGAGCAGTCTGTAACATGTTGACTTCCAGTGATTATAAAGGTGAAATAATAAAAAAAAAGGACAAAAAAAAAGTGTTTCCACAAGATTCAGCGTGACTCCTGAAATCCTACCAAGATCTCAGTGGCCTTACAGCGCAGCGTGCCTTTACCTGTAGCGTAAGCTTCACGAACGGCCACGAGGACCTGTTCTCAGCATCTCTTTCTGGAACTGCTGGCTGAATCATGTTACTGTGCTGCTGCTCTTGCCAGTTCTTCTCTCGGAGAGGCTCTCTCCAAGGCTTTGTGCTGGTCAACGGTTCAAACCAAGAGGGACCAGGACCAGAAAAGGAATTGGAATGGTTTTCTTTCCTAGATTCAGATTTCAAGTCTTCTGCTTGGACGAACCATGAAATCCCTGTTAAAAGACAATAGAAGAGAATAAAGATTTGTAGACAATACATGTGCCTATTTTCCACCCCCATTTATGGCCCTTTATGCCCGTGCTGGTTTTGACTGGGACAGATTTAATTTTCTTCATAGTAGCGAGCATGGGGCTATGTTTTGGATTTGTGCTGGAAACTGTTGATAACACAGGGATGTTTTCGTTGCTGCTGAGCAGTGCTTACACAGAGCCAAGGCCTCTTCTGCTTCTCACCCCACCCCACCAGCGAGTAGGCTGGGGGTGCACAAGAAGTTGGGAGGGGACGCAGCCGTGACCAGAGGGATATTCCATACCATATGACACCATGCTCAGCAATAAAACTAGGGGGAAGAAGGAAGGGGGGGGGACGTTCGGAGTGATGGCGTTTGTCTTCCCAAGTCACCGTTACGCGTGATGGAGCCCTGACTTCCTGGAGATAGCTGAACACCTGCCTGCCCACGGGAAGTTGTAAATTAATTCCTTATTTTGCTTTGCTTGTGTGTGCGGCTTTTGCTTTACCTGTTAAGCCATTTTTTTCTCAACTCATGAGTTTTCTTACTTTTACTCTTCCAATTCTCTCCCCCATCCCACCGGGGGAGAGTGAGCGAATAGCTGTGCAGTGCTTAGTTGCTGGCTGTGGTTAAACCACAACAATGCCCAAGGTCTTAGCTAAATCCAATCAGTGGCCTAACACTGCAATAAACACTCACTTCAGTTTAATAACAGTGGGACTCTGGATCAGAGACCTTCGGCAGTTTCAAAAGAATTCCTCTGCCAAGTGTCAGAAAACCACCAAGTCTTTATCAAACAACACTTTTGAAAAAGCACAAAATGGCTTAGTTTGCAAGTTTCTCTCTGTACAGAAAGAATAGTTATTTATCAGCAATTACACATTTTTAAGGAGCCTCTGTGCTGTCCTAAGCCCTATGGCTTTTTATAGATATTTTTGAAGATCAAATGCTTTACATCTTCCAAATGTTAAATATGTATACAAGAATTAGATTACTCACAGTTTACATACATAATGGGATTTAAATACATCAGCTAGTACTCTGAGCAGATATTCTAAATCTTCTAAATTAAACCGGTATGAGAGGGAATGATTTGTCCCTACAACAACAACGATGACTAAGGAAAACATTTTTAAACATTTAATCATGACATTGTGAAGACTGACGGGAAATTAAAAAAAAAAAAAAAAAAAAACCACAGTCAGGAGGCTACACCATCAGCCCATAAATGCAACTCTAGCTAAAAGAGGGAGATGAGTCTAGCTCTTCTGGTACCACAATCTTCCCTCAAGTACTCCTGAAAAAAACACTTGGTTCTTTGAAGCCTCAGTACATGAAACAGTAAGTACTACTTATAGTGACCAGTTACTCAGAGCTTAACAGAACCTTTTATACCTTGAAAATCAAAATTAAGTATCTACATGACTCCCATCTCATTCATCTTTCCTTGCCTTATTCATTGCTTCCTATTTACTACCTGTAGCGGCTAGGTTGCATCTAACAGCTTGATTGAAAATGCCATCACAATAGAGCACTAGAGAGCTCACTTGACATAGTGGTTTTGTTTAAAATTCATTGATTTAAAACAGAGTAAGAACTGATTGTACTAGTGACAGACTACTCTGTGTCTTAGCTAATTCTCCTCACATATTTTGCTGGTTGCTGTTGGGATGTACAGCTTTTCTGGTCTGCAGAGAAAGCGTATTTTGGACTGACCTTGTGGTAAGTGCAGCCTGCTCCTTTTCGTCCTTTTCTCCACGAAAAAATTGCCTGGCTGTCCCTTCTGCTTACTCTTGCTTCCTGCTGCCTGATGATCTGTGACCATACCATCTGACTCTCCAAAAATACCATCAACACAATGCCAGGGTTCCTGTGGCCGTTGATTTGGCTGGCTAGATCTTGGGGTAGGAAAAGTCACACCAACATCTCGAGTGTTTTTCTTTGTTGCACTGTTCACAATCTCCAAGTCTCCTGTAGTTGAAAATGAAGCAGTAACATCTTGTTCCAAAGCAGCTGGAAGTACGTTAACATCAGCACGTGTCACATGCATAGTTCAGGGGGTGACACTCAACTTTCACTTTGAAGCTGAAGGATCACTTTCTTTATCCCACCTTCAAAAGGCAAAATCTTTTATATTCCCACTTCCAATTCAAGGAGAGTTTACAGTGACTCAGGATTGTTACTATATGATAATCTGAGTAACATTAAAGTGGTGTAAACCAAGTACCCCAAGCAAAACAAGCATATATATATGTGTGTGTGTGTGTCTGTGTCTGTGTGTATGTATATATATATATATATGGGGGGGGGAATTAAACTTGAACCAACTATGCCCCTTGCTGGGGACCTGAGTTGACTTTCTGAAGAGTCAACTTCATATCTGCTGCTGAAAGACACAATGGTCAATGTACAGTTACATTTTGGACAATGGAACTGCAGGTTTTTCTGGACCTGACAGTTTACCCAGTGCGTCTCATCCAAAGCTATGTTTTAGCAATAGAAGATTGGTTTGCCCACACCACTACAAATGTTTAACAGGAACATATGAAGTGGAAGGTGTCAACTAACATTCAAAAAGTCATTAACATGATCTTGAAAACAAGCCATGAAAATACTTTTCTGATTCAACCCACTTGCACACGAAAAAAAAGTAGTAATAAATAATTGATATGTCTGATGAATAAAAGCCATTACTCAATCTTATGATGGAAACTTGGCGTGTAAATGAAAGCAATGGAGAAACTGATAATTGCAGAACTGTACCAGTCCAGGATCGGTTTATGTTTTACATAGAATATAACATCCAAAATATTACCAAGAAGAATACGAAACACTGCAGTTGCCTTCTGAAATAGCATATGCCTACAAAATACATTCTGTGAGTAACAGATGTCTTGCAGAGAAAACAATGTATTAAAAAAAATACAGTTAGTCCACCTTTACTATTGAAATGGATCAGAAGCTTAGGTTAATAAAACTTACAAGTAAGTGAGAAAACTGGCTACTACTCAAGCAGACCGAGAAAGGAAATGAAATGGCTCATTTTAATTAGAACATAACATCTTTCTCTAAAAGCATTTGAAGTGAATTTGAAGAATGCTGCTTGTACATACCCATCACCAGAAACATGCAACAGACTTTGGAGAACGGTTTCCAAAGAGATGAAAGGCAGAAGCAAATACAGAAAAAACAAGTCTGGAATTCAACAACTCACCTGCTTGGATACCTTTGTTTAGCATCCGTGTCCGCCGCTTGTTACTAAGAGCAGAGCTTGGCCCCCAAGAACTGCTGCTTGCAGAAGTTGAATCTGATGAAAGGGAGATTGCCTTCTAGAAAAAAAACAAGCAAGAGAACAGAAATTCCTGAAATACTAACCAAAATGAACAGAAAGCAGGTTTTAAACAGCAAAAAAATTAGAGTCATCAGTCTTTACTTGTTGTACCTTATAAAAACCCTTTGCTGTGGCAAGATCATTTGTTGGCTGTACTTTCATGAAAGACCGCAAAGTGTGAAATATTTCTGCTTTGGAAAGAAGGAGAATAAACACCTAAACTGAATGCTATATTCCTACCCTCTCAAACCAAAAGCTTTTAAAGGTTGCTGGGTTTGCTGGAGGGACAAATTGTCTTGAAAGATTAATATGTTGCTTTGTAAATTCACATTGAACTCCAGTTCTGTACCACTGGCATGGAAGAGCAAAGTCCTTTCAAAACATGGGAAGTTCTCTCACCCTGTGATCCTCATTACACAAAGTCCTCCAGGTGGAGAAAACTAAACTCAATAAAAACAAGAAAAAGGAGACGCATGGCAAGATCACAGCTTAGGCAAAACACTAGTTTCACATCTTCACCATTCACACAAACAGAAGTTCCAGCTGCAGGGATATAAGCAGCACAACTTTGTTATAATAAATTAATTTAAATTTTATGATGTTATAACTTTACAGCCATTTAAAAAAGAATCTACCCTAAGTGTAACACATCTAGTCCACAAGCTTTTTGTTTATATAAAATACAGAGAAGGTTAGTGCTTTATTAAGAGCAATTAACTGACAGTGCTTCCCCAGGCTTCAAATCCAACAGTGCGGCACAGACCAATCTCTACAACTCCGCTGAATTTAATTTTTAATTATGAAACAGAATTTTTTTTGTCCTTGATCATAGCAATTAGTATCCTATTAGTAACTCATAACGCTAGCCACAATGGAAATGAACAGAGGCTTTTTTATTACCTTTTTATTGAACCCCTGCTATCACCACTTCAATGCAAAACATAATTTCATTTCAACATTAAAAGGAGGCAATTTTTACTCTCATGCATACCGTCAAGAACTGTTTTTTAGTTCCATAAACCTGCTTCAGTTCTAGCAGAGTGTACTAGACAGATGTAGTAGATACGTATCTTCTTTCAGAGAACAGAAGCAAATTTGAATACGTGCTCAGCAAAAGGGAAGACAGTATAACGTAAGGAAAAAAACCAAGATAATCCATTGACATGCACATGCGTATCAGCTTGCAGAAATAAATAAAAGCAGCCATTCAATACTGAATATTGACATGCATATTCCTATTTGGACTGGAATGTTCAGTACAGTGCTTTCAAAGCCCTTTAGCAGCTGAATAGCGCAACCTTTAGCTTTGTACCTGCTACCAGATGGCAGCTTGAAGAGTGCTTTAGAAATAACAGAAATTGGAATAGATAAAAGCCTTCTGGGATGGGTTCAGCATCTATAAATAAAAAAAGCTGTAACCAAGTTTTCTGGAAGCAGAACTGACAATAGGCTCTCATAAAAAACAGAGCTACAAAATGCAGCACTTGCCTGAAAGATTCATACAGTAGTTTCTCTAGCAGTAGGGCTCCTGCTATAAATAAATATCTGTCTCTGAAACACAGATATTTGCAACTTAAAAAAAAAAGAAAAAAAAAAAATCTTGCTTTCTGTTCAGCCAAGCATCACAGAAATTACCAAAATTTGGATTTTAAGTTAAGTTTGCCATTTTGCCATCAATTTTCTCTCACTCCTTATTTGAGGTGGGTCATATGTCTATATGTATTTTTAAAAAGAACACTACATCAGCAAATAAAAGATACTACTTTCTAAAGCCATATGGGTTCAATGCAACATCAAGCACCAGGAACAGCGAGTCTTTATTCTCATACAAGTATTACTGCAATCAGTTATCTCACGGGTGATTTTAACAAGCAAAAGACTAGATGTGGTTTTTAAGGTCCAAACAGACATTGAAAGATTAGTCTTATGAACGGAATATGGAATAAAATCATCTCCTAAATACTATAACCACGCAAGAAATGCTGGATCCTAATTTCTTTGTTAGATGGTCAGTGTTCTGATTAATAGTCCTAATATTGCAAAGTTCATGACAATTTTATTTTACCTTTAAATAAATATAAATAAAAATA